TGAACAATAGAACTTGTCAGACAAGGAGTTCCATTGCCGGTGTGGTGTAATTCGTGATTCTGGTGCTGTATATTGTGAATTAAATCATGATTAACACACAATTAGAGATGAGCAGTTAGTATCATTTCCCAATCCCGTAACGGTACCAAATTCATCGGGAAAAATACCGGACACGCCTGATTAGAGGTACCTTGTTTGTTTTGCTTTATTAGCATATTCCATTTTGGTAGAACATAAAAGGTTAACAAGTATTGATGATGTATTTTTTAAGTAAGAACTAAGGAGTGTTTAGTGTTACAAATCTACATCAATGTTACCTCTGATTTTAACAACATAAAAGGTCACAAATTTGTTTTGACTTTTAAAGTTCATATGAGTTATAGTTTTACTTCATATTCCTATAAAGTTACAAATTCATAATCATTAATCAATTGATGACAACTAAATTAGTGCAAATTTACAATCACTTTCACATTTCATATTGAATAACTTGTTTTACTTTACAAAGTATGTGGAACATAACTACGAGATTCGATCCTTAGGGTAAAAGGACAGCCTGTATTCAAGAACATGTAATCTCCAAAATAGCCTTTGATTAGCTTTATTAATTGTTTAAAAATAGGAATCAATGGTGCACCATATCTATAATGACCTGCTAGACAATCTTAAACAAAATCCTATAAATTAGAAATAAGTATCTCAGTCTAAACAAATAACTAAACAACCGGATAATAATCCTTATTCAAATAAAAGACTCATAATAACTTTCCTATTTTATTGTTTAGCCTTGAAGCTACCTTACTTCCACATTAGATAGACCTGGCCAAACAGTCCAAGCTTATCATTGGGTTAAAATAATTATAGTCCTTTATCATGATCTGACCGTAAGTGAGTGGTGTCGTCAACATCATCTTCTCGAACACTAAACCCAAACCCGTCTTTTGACTTTCCCTTGATGTTCAACATTAAGGCTATCAAGCTTTCACAAACACTTTTTTCGATATGCATAACGTCCACACAATGGTGATCCTGCAAGTATTCATAGTCTGAACGTTTATTTCCATGTTTCCAGTAACTAAGATCCATCTGTAATTACATAAAAAAATATTATGATTCAATTAAGTCTCAAAAAATATTCCTGTGATATTCATCGTCTGGAACCTGTCTTAGATTTTCAATTCTACTTAAATATAATGAAATTTTATGTTCTCGTCTGGAAGTTACCTTTGAATGTGTGTGCCAAAGATGAAAGGGAAAGGATTAATGATATCTATAATTCCAGGGGATATTTGGAAGGTTGCAGCAAGACTAGAGATGGCTTTGGTTGTTGAGGAAGTTGAACCTTTGCAATGGTCTATGTCGTTCACAGCTTCTGACTCTGCTCAACTTTTATGTAAGTTTTCAAAAATTAAACATTAACCGACTCAAATGTGAAAATCTGAGGCTGACCACAAACCTCAACTGTTAAAAAAACGAAAATTCTAAATTAAACATATGATTAAATTAACACACTACAAGTCTACAATAAGATTAAAGATACATACTCAGACTTAATGAAGAAGAATACGTGTGCTGTATCATACGATTTTCATCTCCTTCATACAAGATTTATCGATTCTCTGCACGTGTGACTTTCTGTGTATGCTAATTGATGAATAAATACAACTTTTTTCATATGGTTTCTCTGTTTTTATGTGTGCGTCAATGGAAGAAAATATAGCAATTAAGTAGATAATCATTGGAATCAGTGGTCATTATCTTTCAGTCCATGTTTTTATCAATATCTTTTAAACTTTAAAATTTAAAGTTTTATCCATGAACGGTTAAGTATTTGAGTAATAGATATCTTATCTGTTTTTTTTTCAGAGTCCATGAATTTCAACGTGATAAGGATATTAAATAGTGAAATATGCAGGCATCATCTATCCGGTGTTGTTTGGAGCTGCTGGCATACTTTCTTGATCTTCTACGGTTCTATTTGTGGTCCTTGTTATTTGCTTTCTACATGTTGGTGGGGTTTTTTTTGGTTTATTGACCATTTTGCCCCTGCTTGGCATTTTTTGGTGTGGTGTGCTTGTTGACTGAAGTTTTTTGCTTCTATTCATCCGTGTGCTTTTGTCCTGGTTTGCAGTGCTCTCTAGGTTGCTAGTGGGATACATCTTTGCTATTTGGACCTTTTTACCCTTGTGGGGTGTTTTCATATTGCTTTTAGTTATCTGTTTGTTTGTTTAGCTTAGCTTTTGTTTCTTTGGCTCTTCTTGTTGCTTACTACTGGACTTTGTTCCAACTTCCTCTTGTGTGTGCTTAATAAAGTCATAGTTGTTCAAAACAAAAAAAAGTCATTAAGCCACATTTGCATTTGCTAGATGAAGTAAAAAGACCTTGCTAAATGAAGTAAAAACAGCTGCTTTTTGAAAACGGGTCATATGGCTTCCTAGTGTGACTTGTTTTGAAAGTATGTTTAAGACATCCTATTTAAAGAACTAAAGGTGAAAGTTTGTCTTTGATTGTACCTGATGGTTTTCTGGACGAGTTAAACATTGCAACTAAGCATTAGATAATCTTACATCAGAATTCAACTGCATACAAATTTCTAATTTGATTATTGAATTTCTGCCAATTTCTGCACAAATTTGACTGTATATACAATAATTAAAGAGTTTGTTGAAAAAATGAGAATGATATTTTCAATTTGTAATTACATAGAGATTATTAAATATGGTGCCATGTCACTAGTGCTATGATTTGGAAATAAACACGTCAAAAAAATGGGCGTTGGCAGACATAGAGTTTGGTTTTTGAAAAATTGGATCCTTTAGTCATCTTATAAACCACTCCTTGTACCCATAGAACACGTTTGTATTAGAAAAACCGGGTTATATGACCTTATAGCTAAAAGACCCGGTTATGTCAATATTATGCGAGTTTTTTAAATCTAGCATAAAGCTCGGTTGTTCGCTTTAAGCCGGGTCATATTACACTTCCCATTATAAAACCCGGTTTTTGCATAATATAACCTGGTTTTTTAAAAAACCGGGTCCTATAAGGCGGGTTCTATGTGGCTTTTTGTAGTAGTGTTTCTAACGACATCTTACGTGAGACAATCATTGATGAGGTGTTTGGGGCTGTTGATGCTTATGTTCATCGCGATCTCGACTGCTTGGTTGCATAGGTCTTGTTGTTTGGCTTAGGTATTGTGTTATGAAACGTCATAACTTCTTCATATGATATCAGATTTTAACGATCATTATATCCATATGTTCGTTTTTTAAGTCTACTACAATTTTCGTTAAGATTACTCCCGTTAACATGTAATATCATTTTATTTACAATTTTATGAAAAAAATATATATATACTTGCATTCATAAAAACGGGAGTGATCTAAATGAAAATTGTAGTAGACTAAAATACGAACACATGGATATAAACATCGTTAAAATATGAGATCGTACGAAGAAGTTATGCCGTTCAGAACACATGACATAAGCAATCAAATAGTCGAGATCCCGATGGACATAAGCATCAAAAGCCTCAAACACCTCATTAATGATTGTTCCACGTAAGATGTCGTGAGAAAAACCTAAACAAATCATTCAAAAATACTAAATGAGTAAAAAAAAATAAAAATAACTTATTTTGCAACAAAAAAAACATTAAGGACTAAATGTGTACAAAAATATTAATGACTAAATGTGTAAAAAGTGATAAATATATTACCCTATTAAGTCATTTTTTCCGGCTAACATGAAGTAGCCGATCATAAGGACTGAATGTGTAAAGTTTAACAAGTTGAAGAAGTAATATGGACGAAAAAAAATCAATGACAAAAATCAAAAATATATTAAGTCATTATCCCTTTATAGAAATAGTCACTAGAAAAAACAATCCCTTATAAAAATGGTCCATGTATGAAATAGTTGTAGAAATGGTCCCTACAAGATTTGTAAAGTAACGAAAAGAGTCCTTATAAGAAATAGTTACAAAAATGGTCTTGTAAAGAAATAACTACAAAATTGTGTCGCGTAAGAAATAACTACAAAATTGTCCCTCTGAGATAATAATGTTACAAAATTGTCTCCGTATAATAACAGGATTACATAAACAAGCCTTGTGTAATATCGTAATTGCAGAAATGGACCATACATAATACCATAGAAAGAAAAAAGATCCTCAATATTAAAGAAATAGTCCCCATATAATAGGACATTTTAGAAATAGTCATTCTCTAAAATCAAAATTTTACAAACGATCCATGTTCATGTATTAAACAGTATGTTAGAATAAATTACACACATATAGACCATGTATAATAGGGAAAAGAACAATCCATATGTAAGGCTATCCGCTATCAAGTCAGGAAGGCTACGCGTGCTGCCTACGTGGCAGCCCTAGCCACGCGTGAACACCGCCCCAATGGGGGTAGGTGTCTTGTGACATGAAGCTAGCTACGGAGGAAGACGACGAATGCGATTGGTGGACCATTTTTTTGACAGTTTCTTTTTCTTTCTTTTCTTTAAGATAATATTGTCAAAAAAATATAAAAAAGAAAAATAAAAATGATGTTGAGTGTAACCATTTCCAAAGGTTAGTGAGTTAGTAGTGGGTTTGTAGTGGAGGTGATGTGGCGCTGATGTGGCGTGACTTTTTGAGTAGGCTGGTGGTAACCATACCCCTTAGCCTAACAGAACATTATTTCTACTCAATGTAGGGAATAACTATTTTCATAATAAGACTAAAATACAACCCCCTTAGCCTAACAGAACATTACAGAAATAGCTGACAACATAAGCGCCAATGTAGGGAATAACTATTTTCATAATAAGACTAAAATACAACCCCCTTCCCCTCCCCTGGGACCCAATCCATCCCCACTTTCACCTCAATGTGATTCCACGTATGTAATTTTCTAATTATTTCTACTCAATGCACTAAAACACACACATAAATTAGCAACTTTTCCCTTCAACTCGTAACTAAAATCGGTAGGATTTCTTAACACATGGATCATGAGGTTTCTTGCGTCACAAGCTTAAATCTGAGCTTAGGCGATCATGGTTTTCCGACAAACCATCTTATTTATCTTCATGATGAAGAGCAAGAGCAAGAACAAGAACAACTAGAAAGGAAATCTATTCTGAAATGGGATCGGTGCGTCCCTTGTTTGAAATTAGGGTTAGGTAGAGATCAAGAAAGGCATCCAGATCCAATCAACTGGATACCACAAGCTTCAAACTCGACTGTCAATACAATTTCTTCATTCTCTAAATCGACAAGTATCAAGAGGGAGAGAGACGGTGGTAGTCAAGAGGTGGAGAAGGTGTTGTCGAAAGCTGTTATTGAAATTGACCAAGATGAATCCGAAGGACGTGGTGCAAGGAAGAAACTGAGATTGACAAATGAACAAACTTTAGTGTTGGAAGAAAGCTTCAAACAACATGACACCCTTAATCGTGTGAGTAACAAAGACATGGTTTCTTTTCAATTTAATGGAGCCAAAACTTAATCTGGTTGATCAGCAATATAGGCTCACACATGTTCTTATACTGCTTTCTTCTATCTTTTCTTTTTATACATAGAAGCAAAAGCAAGCCCTGGCAACAAGTCTTGTTCTACAGCAACGACAAGTTGAGGTATGGTTCCAGAATAGACGAGCGAGGTACAGAATCAAATATCTTCATGTTTAAATTTGCTTTTTATTCCGTTATTTACTTATAATTAACTAGCGTCAACAGGACGAAACTAAAGCAAAATGAAGTAGACTGTACACTACTTAAGAAGTGTTGTGAAGCACTAAAAAGTGATAACAAAAGGCTAGAAAAGGAAATTCAAGAACTCAAAGCAATAAGAACCACCATCTCCGTCCCTCCGCAATTCAACATACAGTTTCCGGCAGCAAGCCACAGCATGTGCCTTTCTTGTGAGAAAATTGTCTCTCGTTGTGTTAGTGGCGGTGGCGGGCGGCGGTGACAACGCGCAATTTCTAAAACTCCTATCTGCCGTGCACCAAAGTCACACATGCACCTTTTTAGTCAGCTATGCTAGGTATTATAATATAGATAGTGTCAATTTTGAAAATTACTACTGTAATTAATTAAATTGTCTTCTAGTAAAGTAATGTAATTTTTTAGAGTAAATTAAAATTTTGGCACGTCATGTGCGCTAGTTGACATCAAAGGCTTTCAAAATCACGGTATCAAATGTGTTGACTATTCCCTCTTTCCAAGATTACCCAATCTATAACTAGCCACTTACTAATCCACCTAGGCTTCTAAATTCATAAATATAATAAAAATTAAATTAAAAATAAAAATATCGTTATAAAATTCACTATTAATATTGAAAAATACAAATATTATCACAACATTACACAAACAACTAAAATTTAAAGAAAAATATTTATACTGACATTTTTAGATAACTTAATTTTTTCTCTATTTTTATATACCATGTACTCTACTAATTTTGGGATGTTTGGAGACATGGGCCCAGAACGACCACCCAGGTTATACATCGTCTGGGTCGGGTCTGCCCTGATCGTGATATCGGATCACAAACAAAAGTCACTAATTAACAAAAGAAAATAATTCTATGTTTAAAATATGAAAATTCATATATATTCATCTCTATCTACGAGGTCACATATTAGAAACAATTTATAAATTAATAATAAGGTTGCATTTATAATGTAAACTCTGAATCTAATTATCCAATTTTATCTAGCATTATAAATGATGCATCAATACCATTTCCATTATAAAACCTAAAATTTTATCTACTATAGTAGTTGAGGTGCGAAATTCAATACACAATGATTAATGGTTTAATCCTAACACACCTAAACTATCGTTAATATTATGTGATTGACCTCCCACATGGGTCACCTAGATTGTGTGATTTATCATTTTCTTAAATCCTAAAATTTTCAACTTACAAATAACCAACATATAAATTAGATTACTATGTAAACCAAAGAGTAAAGATTGTTGGATCATGATGCTACAATCAGATCATATCATATTAGGATCTTATGATCATAAGGTAGATCCAACTATATTGTGCTATATGTTACTCTTGATAAGGTCTCACTGAGACCGACATCACAAGTAGATCTATGGATTTTAAGATCGTGAGATCACAAGATTGTTGGATCATGATGGTCGAATTGATAATAGTATAAGGCACGCAAGGAAAAAAAAATCGAAATAATAATCTTGATTGAACCATTGTTCTATTGTTCATAATTAATAAAAACTAACTAACTATCAAGGGGCGGTTTTGAGAAATACCTCTATGATGGCAATAAGATTAAGAACTCAAGCTGCAGTCCGCTCTAAAGGAATTACACCCCTTCTTCAAGCAAAAAAGCTCCTTGGTGTTCTTGGTGTTCAAGCAAACATGACCAAAATCTTTCTGGTTAATCTTTTACATCATAGATTTAAAAGAGAGGTAGGGATATGGTTTTTGAACTATGGTTTATTGCAAGAAGGATCATTTGGTTTTCCATCCCTTATATAGAGAGTGGAAATCAAGGAGCCTTTCTTAGCCACTTATATTTCATTAAATTATGGTCATATTACTATAATACAAACATTTGACTTTTATTTCTCAAATAGTCCTTATAATTAATTTCTAGTTATGTATTTTATGAATCAATAAATGTCAAATTAATCACTCTAATTAATTATTCTTGGTTTGGGGTGAGCCAATTATGTAACCGAAATAGGCCCGTATAACTAATATTGTATCACAAACATGTTGTGTCGGTAGACATATCATTAATAAACTTTAACTTGGATATGTAACAACAATTGGGTAGATGAACTCACAAAATTACACATAATATGTCTTATGTTAGATCAAATTAACAAGATGATGAATCACTTAATACATAATGTAACGTCCAAAAACATAGAGTAAAACTTTCGTTTTTAATTATAATAAAACCAACCCAACATTATTCCACAAAAGGTAACCAAGGTATAAGTTTGAAATTTCAAAATCATATATCAGAGTAAATAACATAAAAGTCAATAACACGAAAATCTTTAGTGGATGCAATACAATCAAGCACTGCTCTTCCCCTTTCTACCAGAACAACATGAAACATTTAAACTTAAAACCATATGAAAAATTTTTAATGAGTTCCTCAAAATACCAAATACAACATAGAGTAATGGGCTCCGACCTAAATGATGGGCCCCACCTTGAATAACGAGCCTTTCCTTGAGTAATGGGCCCCACCCACAAACATATAAACAGGCCCCGCCTCACAAGTATATAAATAGACCCCACCCAAAAAGTACATAAACATTCATGCAAGAGTCACAGGGACAACAACTAGACCATGACACCAAGTGTCCTACATAGTATAATGAGAAGTTTCGCATCACATATAAACCGGATAATCCCAACTACATGCGAATAATGAAAAGACCGATCTCACAAACCACCTAGATATTTAAAAAAAGCTCAAGCCTCGATCTATGACCTAAAAGCCCAAAGTTTGCCCCATGGTTAAACTTAATCGAAATATCAAAAAGTCAACAATTTGTCAAACAGGCGCCCTGCACCCACATAGGACAAAATAGACATTTTTCAGTCTAAATTAGGTGTATTTAGAAGAAATCAGAAGGCGCCCCATGCCCTTACCAAACACATCATGCCTAGCGTTATTCAACACATATTTTTCAACTTAAACCCTCAAGTCAAAACTTCCAATTCTCAAATCTGGATCCAAATGATGTATTAATGGATAAAGTTTCCAAATTTATCCATTAGAACATCCCAAAACAACTACATATAAAATCCGAGTTTCCAAAAAGTCCAAGATCCTATTTTAGGAGTAAAGAAAGCCCTTCCATGCACTCTATACTCCACCAAAACATTATATCTAAAGTGAAACGTTACTCAATTTCATGGAGTTGTCCAAACTCCAAAGATCAAACCATCAAAGGGGATCAAAACACAAAATAAAGCACTAAAAACTCCATATACTCTTAGATCTAAAGATGAAACAAAGTAAAGCATGAAAGTTTATAACTTACAAAAGTCCCGAAGTGGTAAGAAGGTTGAATACTTCAGATGTAAAGCTTCCTTGATAAATATTTCTCTTTTACTTCAGTCTAGAGAACCAAAGACCACCAACTGAGCACCAAATAGGATTTTAGGAGAGAGAGAATGAGCTCAAAACTCACAAAAGGAGCCTACATTTCCTGATGGTCGATTTAGGGTTAATGGAGGTTGGGAACTGACAAGTCCTTGGAGTTAATGTACCTTAAATATCCATAAAACCCTAATAACACGTTCAACCCACTGGGTGAGAAGCGCTCAACGTCTTTAGTGTAAATCAACCAATATTTTAGTTTTTTCAGCAAATGCAATTAATGGCTTCCTGCTGTGCCCCATCCTTCAAATTTCCTTTGGACTATAAAACTACCAATCTAAAGTCCCGAAAAGAATAATTGGGACTCGAGTATTACAACTAAAAACCTCCAAAACATGAAACCTTCCTATAAACAATTTGGTAAGCGCACCAGTCAAATACTCAATTTAGAAACCGGGTGTTACACATGATAGTAAAATGAACAATTATGTAAAAACTGAGCACCAAATAGGATTTTAGGACAGAGAGAATGAGCTCAAAACTCACAAAAGGAGCCTACATTTCCTGATGGTCGATTTAGGGTTAATGGAGGTTGGGAACTGACAAGTCCTTGGAGTTAATGTACCTTAAATATCCATAAAACCCTAATAACACGTTCAACACACTGGGTGAGAAGCGCTCAACGTCTTTAGTGTAAATCAACCAATATTTTAGTTTTTTCAGCAAATGCAATTAATGGCTTCCTGCTGCGCCCCATCCTTCAAATTTCCTTTGGACTATAAAACTACCAATCTAAAGTCCCGAAAAGAATAATTGGGACTCGAGTATTACAACTAAAAACCTCCAAAACATGAAACCTTCCTATAAACAATTTGGTAAGTGCACCAGTCAAATACTCAATTTAGAAACCGGGTGTTACACATGATAGTAAAATGAACAATTATGTAAAAACTGAGCACCAAATAGGATTTTAGGACATAGAGAATGAGCTCAAAACTCACAAAAGGAGCCTACATTTCATGATGGTCGATTTAGGGTTAATGGAGGTTGGGAACTGACAAGTCCTTGGAGTTAATGTACCTTAAATATCCATAAAACCCTAATAACACGTTCAACCCACTGGGTGAGAAGCGTTCAACGTCTTTAGTGTAAATCAACCAATATTTTAGTTTTTTCAGCAAATGCAATTAATGGCTTCCTGCTGCACCCCATCCTTCAAATTTCCTTTGGACTATAAAACTACCAATCTAAAGTCCCGAAAAGAATAATTGGGACTCGAGTATTACAACTAAAAACCTCCAAAACATGAAACCTTCCTATAAACAATTTGGTAAGTGCACCAGTCAAATACTCAATTTAGAAACCGGGTGTTACACATGATAGTAAAATGAACAATTATGTAAAAACTGAGCACCAAATAGGATTTTAGGACATAGAGAATGAGCTCAAAACTCACAAAAGGAGCCTACATTTCATGATGGTCGATTTAGGGTTAATGGAGGTTGGGAACTGACAAGTCCTTGGAGTTAATGTACCTTAAATATCCATAAAACCCTAATAACACGTTCAACCCACTGGGTGAGAAGCGTTCAACGTCTTTAGTGTAAATCAACCAATATTTTAGTTTTTTCAGCAAATGCAATTAATGGCTTCCTGCTGCGCCCCATCCTTCAAATTTCCTTTGGACTATAAAACTACCAATCTAAAGTCCCGAAAAGAATAATTGGGACTCGAGTATTACAACTAAAAACCTCCAAAACATGAAACCTTCCTATAAACAATTTGGTAAGTGCACCAGTCAAATACTCAATTTAGAAACCGGTTGTTACACATGATAGTAAAATGAACAATTATGTAAATAATG